TAGAGGGATCATATTGAGTTTCTCTTTATTTAGTTTGATGTTGTCGGTTGGTTTGCTATATATTGCTTTTATTATGTTAGCTATGTCCCTGTTATTCCTGATATCTCCAAGTCCTTTATCATGAAGGGATGTTGGATTTTGTCAAAAGCTTTTTCAGCATTTGGTGAGATGATCATGTGGTTTTTCTTTTTCAGTTTGTTTATATGGTGGATTACATTGATGGATTTTTGTATGTTGAACCATCCTTGCATTCCTGGAATGAAGCCTGATTGATCATGGTGTGTGATTATTCTGATGTGTTCTTGGATTCAATTTGCCAGAATTTTATTATGTATTTTTGCAATAATGTTCATTAGGGAGATTGATAGGGGAAGTCCTTCTCTGTATATGCTTGCTTATTGACTGATAAATAGAGCACTATTAGCCAATAGGGAAGCAAGATAGGTGTGACTAGGACTCCAGGAGGATTCTGGAAGAGTAGCCATGTGATCCTTGGAAGACAGGATGCATGCCGCTGGCATCCTAGATAAGTCTTTGTAAAATATATAGATTAACGGTTATGGTTGATAGTTAAGATAGAGCTAGTACTTAAGAAATCCTAGTCATTGGCCAGCAACATTTTAACTAATACTAATCTCTGTGTGTTATTTGGGGGCCCTAAAATGGCGGCGGAACTCAGGCAGCTGGCAGAAAGATTTATCATTACAGAAGATTCGTCTGTAGTTCTCTTCCTTAGTTATGTCTTTGTGTGTTTTGGCTACCAAGGTATTTGTAGCCTCTTAAAAAGAGTTTGGCCATGACCCTTCTGCTTCTATTGTGTGGAACAATTAGAGGGGAATTGGTGTTAGCTGGTCTTTGAATTTCTGGTAGAATTCTGGCACTGAAACCATCTGGCCCTGGGCTTTTTTTAGTTGGGAGACTTTTGATGACTGCTTCTATTTCATTAGGGGTTATAGGTCTATTTAAATTAATATCTGTTCTTGATTTAATTTTTAAGTGAACTCTATCCAGAAAATTGTCCATTTCTTGTAGATTTTCCAATTTTGTGGAGTACAGGTTTTCAAAGTATGAACTGATTATTCTCTGTATTTCTCCAGTGTGCATTGTTATGTCCCCCTTTTCATTTCCGATTTTGTTAACCAGCATGCTCTCTCTGCGCTTTTTGGTTAGTTTGGATAAAAGTTTGTCTATCTTGTTGATTTTCTCGAAGAACCAACTCTTTGTTTCATCAATTCTTTGTAATGTTTTCCTAGTTTCTACTTTATTGATTTCAACCTTCATTTGATTATATCCTGGCATCTACTCCTCCTGGATGAGTTTGCTTCTTTTTGCTCTAAAGCTTTCAGTTCCTCTGTTAATTCTCTAGTGTGACTATTCTCCAGTTTCTTCATGTGAGCACTTAGTGATATGAACTTTCCTCTTAGCACTTCTTTCAAAGTGTCCCATAAGTTTTGGTTCGTTCTGTCTACATTCCCTTGAATTCTAGGAAGTCTTTATTTTTTTTTCTTCCTTGACCAAGGAATGCTGCAACTGCACATTGTTCAATTTCCATGAGTTTGTAGGCTTTCTGAAATTTGTGTTGTTGTTGAATTCTAACTTTAAACCATGGTGATCCCATAGGATACAGGTGATTATTTCAATATTTTGTTTTATCTGTGGAAATTTGCTATTCTGTTGAGTATTTGGTCAATTTTAGAGAAAGTTCCATGTGGTGCTGAGAATTAGTTTTTTTTTTCTTTTGTGTTTGAATGGAATGTTCTATATATGACTGTTCATCCCTATTGGGTCATACTTCTGTTCCTTTGTTTCTTAGTTAAGTTTCTGTCTGGTGGCCCTGTATAGTGGTGAGAGCAGTGTGTTGAAGACTCCCACTATAAGTATTTGAGGTTTTATTTGTGATTTGAGCTTTAATAATGTTTCTTTTATGAATGCAGATGCCTTCATATTTGGGGCATAGATGTGCAGAATTGAGACTTCATCTTGATGGACTTATCCTGTGATGAATATGAAATACCCTTCTTCATCTGTTTTGATTGATTTTAGTTTGAAGTCTACTTTGTTGGATATTAGGATTTCTAGACCAGCTCATTTCTTGTGTCCATTTGATTGGAAAATCTTTTCCCAACTCCCATCAGTCTGGGGAGCAAGAGTTTCCCGATGTTCAGGTCAGCTGTTTCTGTGGGTTTCACCAGCCTGGTATGGATCCCTTTGCTCTTCACTCGTCCTTCTCTCAGTTCAGTGATTAGTTGTGGGTGTCTGCTTCTACTTCCACCAGTTGCCAGATGAGGGTTATCAGGTGGCATATAAGTCAGTCATCAATCTCATTATCAGGGGAGGGCATTTAAGGTAGCCTCTCCTCTGTTGCTTAGATTGTTTGCTGGTGTCATCTTTATCGATCTCCAGACATTTCCCTAGGGCCTGATTTCTCTGTAAACCTAAAGACTCTTAAACATTATGTTCCTACCAAGATTAGAAAGCAAGGCCCAGGGTATTAGGAATGCATGCAATATACACTTAGCACAAGGATTTGTCCTGCCTTTACAACAGTTTGACTAGGTATTTGTGATTCTGAAACAGCAGTTCTAGCAGAACCAAGATGCAAATCTGAGATTCCATTTAATGTAATTATCAAAACCTTGGTGTATACTCATAAAAACATTTGACACTCAGTGAAGTAAGTAATGTGGTAAAGTGGAAGATCTGTTATAAAACTTCTTGGCAGTGTATAAGACAATTGCAGCAACAGAGAGAAGCAGGTCCCTCACACAGATGTCCTGAAGAAAGTATCTAATTACTTTAGTTACTTTCCTTTGCTATGATAAAACCCCACAACCATGACAACTTATAGAAGGAAAAGTGTATTTGAGCTGCAGTTGCAGATAGGTGGGATTCCATGGTGACAGGGAGCATGACAACAGGTAGGCATGGTGACCAGTGCATGAAGCTGAGCAATCATATCCTCAGTCACAAACACTAAACAGAGAGAGCAAACTGGAACCACAGCTAGACTGTGACCTCTCAAAGCTCACCCCCACTGATGCACTTCCTCCACAAGGCTGCATCAACTCCCCAAGCATGCCACAAACTAGAAACCAGGTATCCAAACATCTGAAATAGTAGAGGACATTTCTCATTTGAACCACACAACTAATGTCAGGCCAGATATCTAATAATAACATAAGTTTTGGTCCTGTCTATGGTGATTCTTGTAAGGGAATGAATTTTTGATATAAGTAGTATCTGTCATCTTAATTGTAAGACTCAGTTTCTGCCGGGTGTTGGTGGCGCACGCCTTTAATCCCATCACTCAGGAGGCAGAGGCAGGTGGATCTCTGTGAGTTCGCGACCAGCCTGGTTTACAAGAGCTAGTTCCAGGACAGCCTCCAAAGCCACAGGGAAACCCTGTCTCAAAAACCAAATAAATAAATAAATAAATAAATAAATAAATAAAAGATTCAGTTTCCCAGAGACTTGCTTAATTCATCAAGACTCCCTGACACAATGGAACTATGGGACTTAAATGAACTTATAAAACTACAAACATTTTGTAAGTTATCATTCAGAGGATTCTATTAGAACCAATGGAGACTTCTTCAAATAAAGGAATGAATAAATTGCCAATGCCAATATAAACAGACCTAATTAGAGATTGTCCTCGGGTTTTCATTTCTTTGATAAGTTTTCCCTGTTGTATTTTTAGCAGGCAAGCTAATTTTTCTGTTCTACAATAAAAGTGCACAATGATCTTGTACAATTCCATGAGGGTCCAATTTTTGTTAAATCACAAAGTTTGAACTGTGCCTGAAAACAAAATAAGTAAGGAAAAGTGGCACCATGACTTTCCAATAAAGAATTCATACCTTCACAGTTGATTAAAATAATTATATGTAGCTAGAAAGAATATGTCACTAGGAAAGTTATTTTGTTCAAAATTTTTGAGGTATTAAGACTAACAAAAAATTGAGTAAAATAATACTGTATTTCACTTAGTGGCTAATGTCTAAACTAAATGAGCTAGGGCCTTGAAGCCACCACAGTATTTTTGTTGTTTCATTATAACTATTAAGAATATCACACACCCAAATACACCAATGAACCAAGGACTTGTTGGTATAAATCACCATGACAGCTCATGAAACTAACAATAATCTTAGGTATTTTCAGTGTTTACTATTTTTTCATTAGCAACTATTGTTAAATATGTATATGCAACTGGATCTGGAAAGGAAACTGAAGCCCAGAGAAATGAATTTATTTTCGGGAAATAAATTGACTAGTGAACATTCACAGAGATCATGTCTGGGTCTAAGCAAGAAACATTGCAATAGTTCAGAGGGGTTAACCTCATCTCTCCCATGCTCTGCCTTCTCATCAGTCATTTCCTCTCCCACTCTCTCTCTCTCTCTTGGCTTATGAGACTGGATGCCCTGGCTAAGAGCATGGTACTCCTGGGATGCATTCTGGAAAGATTATTTCCCTACATATCTCAAGGTTCTTCAAAGGAGAAGGACTTTGCTTTGTATCTTGTTAGTGACTTGTAAGATCAAGGAGGGGCTAAAGGCAAGGAAGCTAAGGATACTTCATGTGGTCCAAAACAGATAGGAGAGACACATTCTCAAATGTGATGCTAAAGTTGATCTTCAAGTTGAGTTCCTCTTAAAGTTATTGCAGTTTTAAATCCTACAACCATGTGATAAAATTAAAATGCCCATATTCCTAAAAGAGTGCCACCTATTATGATTATGAGTGAGTAGCTGAGTAAAATTCCCACCCAAATATTTTTAAATTTCAAGAGAATGATTGGGGATTAAAACCAGGAAAGTAAAGAAGGTAAACCTGGGAATGAAAACTGGGGAGCCTTTTAAAACTTGGAAAATAAGAACACACAAAGCAAAGGTTTACTAGTCCCTAAGGAACTGGATCTTTTCTCAGTAGGACTTCTGACATAAATGATATGCCTCGGAGCAATCTGTGCTAATCTATATTATCCACTGATACAGGCAGAGTCCAAAGGGAATGGAAGCATCAACAGGAGACTCCCATCCATTGTGGAAGATGAGGAAGAGGAGGAAGAGGTGGAGGAAGAGGAGACCGCCTCCCTTTCTCCTATCTACACAAAGAGATCCTCTGTTTCACGCAGCAAAAAGATCGGAGGCAATAAAAGCTATCTAGGTTTAAACTTAAAGCAACTAGCCTCAGGGACAGTGCCATTCCACTCTCCAATTAGAGTCTCTACTGCCAACTCCCCTAAAACCAAGCAGGAGGCTGAGCCATCTAGCCATGGCAGAAGGATAGAGAAGAACCTGAAAGTGCAGCTTGGCAGTATGACTAGCTCAGGAACCCCAGAGCTCAGTCCAAGGTAAGAGTTCACCTGTGCAGCAGTCTCCCAGGTGAGTTCCCACACTTCTGCATGTGCTCATACACAGATTAGCACACACCTTCTAAATTATTCAGCAATCTGAACCTTTCTGTTCAGTGAATTCACAATCTCCATTCTTCAGTTTTCCTGAGCCATGTGTGAATTTTTGAGCTATATCTCAAATGTGTGTGTATGAGTGCTATGAAGATTATACTCATAATAAAGTAAATGGGTTGCAGTAAATGTCCATCACTTCTGCTTTTATACTAATTTAATCTCCATGTGTCATGGTGTGGTTTATAATTGAATTCACAATAAAATGAAGAGAGCAGGATCCTTTAATCCCTTAATCCCCAAATCTTGTTCAACAACAGGGTGGAATGATGAATGATTGAGGGCTGTTGTCCTTGTCACAATATTCTGCTTGTTACTGTGGATAACTGAAGCTAGTTTTATTTCTGTTCTTCTTAGTAAAACTAATTTTCTTTACACTGAAACTAAAGTCACTTTAGAAGCAACTAAAGGGGATTGAGATGGTAGAAAACCCATGCTCTGATGCCAGAAAGGCATTAAAACCCATCAGTATCTCCAAACAGCTGAGCAACCAAATGAGAAAAATACCCTGAGTACTTCCTAGGTTCCATGCACCTTGTGAGGTAACTTTCCATTTATTTTTGTAGTCTTCCTGGAGACCTGAGGAGCAGTTTTTGCTATTTCTTACTATTATATTGTAAAAATAAAGATTTAACTATTCTGTCAAAGACATCAGCAATAGTAATGACTGAAAGCTGAACTCAAATTCTCAACTGGTAAAGTAAATGATGGCTCAAATATATGAGCTCATTTTCCACTTGCAGAAAACACACAACATCTGTGTATTGCACATTCTACTGAATGGTACCAAAGCATGATAACTTTTAGTTAGAATGGTCTCAGAGCTTGAAGACAGGGATACTAGGATCATACACTGCTTCTCTGGCAGTGTGGATTGTAGGCTGGTAATCCTTTATACTATTTCTAAAATCCACATATGAGTGAGTACATACCATGTTTTCCATCCATTTTCCTGCAAATTTCAAGATTCCATTTTTTTCCCACTGAGTAGTACTCCATTGTGTAAATGTACCACATTTTCTCTATCTATTCTTCAGTTGAGAGGCATCTAGATTGTTTCCAGGTTCTGGCTATTACAAATAATGCTGTGATGAACATCGTTGAACAGATGCCCTTTTTGTCTTTTGGGTATATGCTTAAGAGTGGAATAGCTGGATCTTATGGTAGACTGATTCCCATTTTCCTGAGGAATTGCCATGAAGATTTCCAAAGTGGCTGTACAAGTGGGCACTCCCACCAGCATTGGAGGAGTGTTCCCCTTTCTCCACATCCTCTCCAGCATAAACTGTCATTGGTGTCTTTGATTTTGGCCATTCTGACAGGAGTAAGATGGTATCTCAGAGTTGTTTTGATTTGCATTTCCCTGATGGCTAAGGATGTTGAACACTTTCTTATGTGTCTTTTAGCCATTTTAGATTCCTCTATTGAGAATTGTCTATTTAGTTCTGTACCCCACTTTTTAATTGGATTATTTGGCGTTTTGGAGACTACCTTCTTAAATTCTTTGTAAATTTTGGAGATCAGCCATCTGTCAGGTGTGGGGTTGATGAATATCTTTTCCCAATCTGTGGGCTATTGTTTTGTCTTGTTGACTGTGTCCTTTGCCTTACAGAAGCTCCTCAGTTTCAGGAGGTTCCATTTATTAATTGTTGACCTCAGTGTCTGTGCTACTGGTGTTATGTTCAGGAAGCAGTCTCCTATACCAAGTAGGATATTTCCTACTTTCTCTTCTAATAAGCCCAGTGTGGTTGGGTTTATATTGAGGTCTTTGATGCATTTGGAGTTAAGTTTTGTGCATGGCGATAGACATGGATATATCTGCAGTCTTCTACATGCCAGCATCCAGTTATGCCAGCACCACTTGTTGAAGATGCTTTCTTTATTCCATTTTATAGCTTTAGCTTCTTTGTCAAAAATCAGATATTCATAGGTGTGTGGGTTAATATCAGGGTTTTCAATTTGATTCCTTTGGTCTACCTGTCTATTTTTGTGCCAATACAAAGCTGTTTTGTATACTCTATAGTAGAGGTTGAAATCCGGGATGGTGATGCCTCCGGAAGTTCTGTTATTGTACACGGTTGTTTTGGCTATCCTGAGTTTTTTGTTTTTCCATATAAAGTTGAGAATTGTTTTTTCAAGGCCTGTGAAGAATTGTTATGGGATTTTGATGGGGATTGCATTGAATCTGTAGATTGTTTTTGGCAAGATTGCTCTTTTTACTTTGTTGATCCTACCTACCTAAGAACATGGGAGATCCTTCCATTTTCTGGTACCTTTAATTTCTTTCTGGCATAACTTTATAGTACCAGGAATTTAGAAATTAAACACAAAATGTCTTAGAGGTCTTCTATAGATACTGGAATCCATAAATGTAAATGCATAGCCAACTTATTCCCTGTTCTTGATGCAGGATTGTTGATGGAATTGAAGATGGCAACAGCAATGAGGAAACTCAGACTTTTGATTTTGGCTCTGAACAAATCAGGCCAGAGCCCAGAATCTCCCCTCCCCTTGGAGGTAAGTAAGCACTTGATTGTCATCTTCAAGAATGCTGTTCTCTGGACTTTGGGAGCCCATTCCCCATGTAGGGATTCTCTCTTAGCCTAGGCCCTGTCCCAAATGACTTGAAAGATTTTTATGATCCCTCATGGAAGGCCTCACCCTCCCTGGGGAGTAGATGGGGAATGGGATGTGGGGACCTCTGGGGGGTATGGAAAGATGGGAGGGAGAGAGAACTGGGATTGATATGTAAGACTGTTCCTAATTTAAATAAAATTTATTTAAAAAGGAAACAAAAATACTATTGTCTCTAATGTGTGGTGTTAGGCACCATTGCCTTCTGATGTCACAGTGTTCTTCGTGGCACTTACTGATTTGACTTGAGTCTCTGACACTTCCGGGCACTAAGGTCTATAATTGTTCTCTAATCAGGCCCCATGCCCTGCCACTTGCTATCCCTGGCAAACAGAGTATCCAGTTTCTGTTTTTCATCAGAGAGTCCCTATTTTCCTATTATACACCCAGAAAAATTGAAAAAAAATTACCACATGGTTATGTGCTCTGAAAATGTTGGCAGTCCTTAATCATTTATTTGGTGATAGGTTATATACTTACAGACTGTCAGAATAAACAATTTGGAATGATGTAAAACATTTGATTATGAAACACCAACCTGTAAGGATGGTGGCTAATATAAAGATGCCTCCACCTCAAGCCTGATTTGAACTCTTTCCCTCTCTGCCAACCTCACCTACAAAAAGACCTGTCAATATGATCAAGATCAGAAATGAAAAATACATTCTAAGGAAAACATAGCTTCATTTGATAAAGACTGGACACTGGTCAGTTGTTAAATGCTTGTAGATTTTTTAAAAAAAAATGAAGAAAATTGGTAAGCAAGAACAGACAAGCATTCCCTGGCCATGTCATTCCCCACTTCTGACAAAATGCTTGGATCCTCATGTTCCATTCTCCTGCTAACTAGCAACCCTCGTATAATCCTAAACCCAAGAAAGACCATTGGGTGGACAACTTCAACAATGGGAATGAGGATCCACTATTTAGTAAACTCAGGATTTTATTGGTGATTAACAATCACTTCCCACTGGAAAAACAGAGGGTCTACATAAGACTGGATGCAAACTGAGGAGTAGAACTTTAAATCATTAACTTGACTAAATTATGTATGTTGTCTTTACTTTGGAGTAATTGTCAAGGAAATAATAGCTACATCACACTGCTGTGTTTGCCGAAAAAGCCAATGGTGAAGCAAAGAATCAAGATTTGTCTTGTGGTCTCCTGGAGTCAGTGCAGAGCCTGAACCTGTCCACCCATCCATCTCTTAGCATCCTCCTTTTCCTTGCCCCATCATATAACCCTACACTCAAATATTTAAGCAACAATTTTTCTTTATTTCACCTCTCCACTGACTTTCAGTTCTTCCTAGGCCTGCCCTTCTTCTATGGCCACAATTATACCTTGCCTACATTACCACCATATTTCTTCCCTGACTTCACACTGATTTTTAATGCAAAGAGAAAAATTTTAAAGTATATGTGTACTTGTATGGGTCAACTTCAGTACTGAAAACCCAAGAGTGTTCCATACAGTCTAGTGTGAAACCCAGACCCACTGCTTAATTGCCTTCAAGTGTCTCTTCCCTTTACTGGGCTCTTTATTAACTGCATCTCTTACACAGGGGCATTGGCCTACTCTATATGATGGGAATGGTTTGTTGAGTGACTGCAAGACATCTCTGTAAAATGACTCTCATGACTTCTTTAATCTGTTTTGAGTTACTTTTCTTCTTAAACAAGTGTTCTACTCACAACTGACCAAGGAGAGGCTAATTTTGTCACATTGTCAAATCTTTTCCTTTCCAAAGCCCTGACTTATTTGTGCTTCTTGTCCTGGACAGAGTAGGGAGAAGCTAGAGAAGGGAATTCAGAAATGAGAACAACAGAGTGATACAGTAGAAGACTTGAAATATGCAAAGGAAATTAGCCCTTTAAATAGAAGTGAAGTGTTTGCATGGACACAGCAAATTCCTTTTCCAATGGAAAAAGGAAGTATGGTCAGTGTGTGGCATTGGGAGTGATGATGAGAATGAAAAGAGATAAGAGATACAATGTTGGAACACGCTGATGATTGTGTGTAGGGACACACACAGCCAGTGTGGTCACCAACCGGTGTGCTGTGAGATTGCCTGCTAAGAGTACAGAAGGTGCTGCCCAAAGAAGAGATTTGTCTGGTCCTGGGGGAAAAGCCCATGAGCTCAGGCAGCAGGGATGTTTAAAGTGACATCCTTGCTTCTACACTGCAACCCCCACACCCAAAGTTTGAACACACAGTGTATTCCTAAAGGGCTCACTTTGTGTGTGTCATTTTTCAGATCCAGATATTGGAGCTGGTGTTCTGTTCATCAAGGCTGAAGAAACCAAGCAGCAGATAAACAAACTCAACAGTGAGGTATGGAGGGGAGGAGGATGTCAGAACTCTATTTACATCAGAAGTAGTGTGATGTAATAACCAGCTATGCCCCTGGATAGAAACTGCCTGAGATTCACAGGGCCTTATCATTTAACTTATCAGGAAGCTCCATTTCCCTGTGTATAAGGAGGGAGACAGTAGTGCATACCCTTTGACTCATTATCCAAGACAGAAGCAGCAGACAGAAAGCAGGAGACAGACAGCAAAATATAGTCACTCAGACCCTCAAAACACTCAGCAGAGTGGAGTAACCACAATGGGAAAAGACGCAGAACAGCCACAGTGGCATTGGCGCTTCCAGCATCCAGTAAAAAATGCACTAAGGAAGACCCATTGAGCAGTCTGATGACGCTCCCCACCTCCCCACCAAAGGCCTTGTGCAGAGCAGAGAGGGCCCTCCTGGGCAAGCATCTGACTTGCTATTCCCACCGTAGGTGGTTTTACAGTAGCAACCTCTGTCAGAAACGGTTGATCTTCTATCTGTTCTCGGGGGCACATTTTAATGTCTCTGTCTGCTTGCTGTTTTCCCCTCTTTCTATCATAGACCGAGGGGCCACCCTGCCCCAGGACAGGGTCTTTTAAAGAACCTGAGTGTTGAGTCTGACACTAGGCAGGACCTCTTTGCTGTTAGATGTGCTTTCCATGAACTTGACAACACGTGGCAACTTTTTAAAATATAAGCTATATTCTGAGCAGGTATTTTATTGAACTGATATCCTTCAAGTTTCAATGAGTTAAAAACAAGATTGTTAGTCCATGAGAGAATGTAATTTCTCAGAGTTATTTTGGCCTAAGTTTTGCTTTTTATCCAACAATTATTTGCTATGTAGCATTGGAACTTTTCCTCTCTGAATCTTAGGATTTTCCATATAAAATAAAATAATTTTCAACAATGTTATTAAGATACATATAAGTATCATAAAATTCATGTTTTAAAATATGTGATTAAATAAGGTTTAATTTTGTATTCCTTTAACCATCACCAAGAATCAGCTTTAGAATATGCTTTGTTTCCCCAATAATGCCTTTGATTCAGATTTACACGTAATCTAGGAACTGTGTGGGCCTACCCTCTGTTTTGATAAGATCAACCTTTCTGCCCACTTACATAGAATAAGGTAGCTTCTCAGCTGCTGCCTCAGTTTTAATTGCTTTCTCCAAATAACAGTAGTTTAAAACACATTCTGGGACATTTTAGATGCAGATAATGATTTTGGAAGAGGCCAAGGAAGCATGATGGAAAAACAGAACAGAAAAGCTTGAAGATGAAGAGCAAATGTGTGTTAATGAGTTAACCTGTGGGTAATTGGTGGTCAGGCCTTCTAGGGACCGCTAAGAGATTTCAAGGAACAAGTTAAGGAAAAGAAGGCCTAGCTACAGAGAGTCTAGAGAGACTCTCACAGGAAAAATTCAGGAAGCTCTGGGATTCTTTTGGACCATGGGGAGGGCATGTGGAGAGGTACAGTATAAAAGAGTCCCTTCTAGACTAAAGTTAGAACTCACATGCTGCCATCTTGAATAGGATCACCATGTGCTGATACTAAAGAGAATTTCACAAGTAGAATTCTTGTGGTCACACGACTTGCAGTGGTCTGTAGTAACAGCAATGCAACTGGAGCAGCCCAGGTCTCTCCTAAACTTAGGTTGTCTCTTAGTGAAGGTCTGTACTCAGCTGCCACCTCACCTTCCTTTGTCTGAAGTGAGACAATGACTAAGGAGAGGAGTAAGTACCAGGAGAAGAACAGAAACAACAGTATTAGAGAACTCCCCAACTGGATTGACAGTTCTTAGTGGCAAGTCCAAACCGTACGGGAATCACCCAAACAACCTCCCACTGAAAACTACAGAGAGGCTGGAGAGATATCTCAGTGTTAGGTTAGAAACACTGGCTGCTCTTGCAGAGGACCCAGGTTTGGTTCCTGGCATCCACAAGTGTAGCTTTCAACTGCCTGCAACTGCAGTTCCAGAGGATTCAGGGCCTCTTCCAGCCTCTGTGGGCACCATGTACACACGGTACCCAGATATACATGTAGGCTAGACATCTAAGATTTAAAAATAAAATATTAAAAAAAACAGAAGGGGAAGGAAACAGACTTATTGTTGGCAATCTGCACATCAGCCTTCTTTGAGCAGTTTCTCTTTAGACATTGCCCAGGTTAAAACCACCCATTATGCCATTAGATTTCTGCCCACTCCCATCTTACACAAATACGTAAGAGTGCTAAGTGGTTGATCTATTTCTTAACTGAACCTTAGAGTCAGTCATTCCTCTTGGGAAAGGAGGCCTTTCTCTTTAGAGTGTGGACACTGCACAAGTCAGGCTAAAGAACTGTATCATTGTTCTTTGATAGTGTGGCCCATCAGTCTGTGTAAACAGAGATCCATTTGGAAAACAAAGGAGCCTTGCAATTTGATATATCCATTAGTGTCCTTCTGTTGAAAAATACTCATTGAAATAAGAAGATAAAATTAGTAATGGACTAGCCACCTCCTTCTAAAGATTAGGTTTTCCTTATAGTAAAATATCTGATTTCCCCACAGTTATAGCTTAAGCAAAACAAAACAAACAAACAACTTTACCCTTTAAACATGATTAAATTTATATATCCTTAACCCTGTGTGTAGTGTATTAAATGTCACTAAGCCAGGCACACTGAAAATATGAAGTAGATTCAGAATGCGCAGTTACTCCTTACAGCCTCCTACACAAGTTTTCCTTACACCTCCCACAAAGTCATATTGTTAACATAGGAAAAACAAAACAATTAAGTCAAAGCCTAATACTCTGTTTAGTGTACCTTCTACTTGTTGTAGCTGGAATCAGTTCATTGCTTTACTCTTACACTATATTTAGTTACTATCAATCAAGAAATGCATTAGTAGTAAATGTGGAATATGCTACATGACTCTGAAGTTTGTTACCAAAATGCCAGACAACAGGATAGATAGCAGAGACTGCAGTGCAGACTGCAGGCTCCGGGTGCACTGCTGGAGCACTGATGACTCTGCATTCTAATATTTGCTTAAAAACTTAATGTACAGGATCTGGAGCAATGGCTCGGTAGTTAAGAGAACTTATGCTCTTCCAGAGGACCTGGATTCAGTTCCCTGCACCCATGTCAGGCAGCTCACACCTTCATAGCCTCTTATAACTGTAGCTTCAGGGGATTTGAAGCCATCTTCTAGCCTCCTTGGATACCTGCATATGCACTTTTCACGCACACACATACACACACACACACATATATATATATAGAATTATACCATGTTGTGTACATTTCATAATTAACTGATTAAATGCATTTTACATGTCAGAAAAGGCATAACATTGGTATTAACCTACATTCCCAGAACACTAAAGGGAATTTTAAAGATGTAGGACAGGCACCAGTATTAGCCTGCTTTAGATACAGTTCCCACACTTTTAGTGCAGGGAAGATGGGACTTCAAGAGAAGTCACTTCAGGGACCGTGGACTGTAAGAGTCAAGCACTACCTTTCTGAATAGGTTTGTAGGTAAATGCTGCATGTGCTCTAGTTTCTCAAATCTAGCTGACCCAGAAAGACATCATAGACACAGTGTTTAAGGGAAAACTGCTTTGGCATAGTGAGCACAGAGCAGAAACATTGCTGCAAAGAAAAGCTGCCCTGGAGGGAAACAGTGCTTAGATTCACATTTGGTTACTTCAACAAGGTGTTTGTCTTCCCTAACCTTACACCGTTCTATTAGTTGGTAAGAAAATCTGCAATAGGAGTTCCTGTGTCAATTTAGGACTGGATAATATAAACATCGAATTGAAGTATGGTGGCCTCTTTAATACATGAGAACTAGATACTTGTTCTTGCTGTGTTAGAGCTTGCTGACAGTTATTCACACTGTACCTTTGCCTATGTTTTGGTCATTTATCCATCTTCTTTCAGAACTGTTCCTTCCCATTCTTTTCCCATTTTCAGTTGAGTTGTCTTTTTATTATTAACTCTTATGAGTTCTTTATACTTCACAGAACCAACTCCCTTATTAAACACATGATTTGTAATTTTCTCTTCTCATTTTTGTACATCAAAGCTTGACGAGCACAAAGATGATCCATAGTCTGTAAGGTTAAGATATCTTCATTCAGATTAACACCAGCCAAATGCAAGCCAGAGTGTGCCTAGAGGTAGCAAGCTAGCGAGGCCAGAGAGAAGGGGCTTCCCCACGAGTCTGCGGCTCCTTAAGAATCCCCCCCATCATCCTCAACCTCACCTGACCACGCCCTCATGGGCGTGGCCAGGCAATCTGTAGCCCTAGGAGGCAGGGCTACAATGTCTCCCTACACTTGACTTCCTTGATGGTGTCCCTTGAAGCAAATTAGGATTGATTGTAGAGAAAGCCAATCTGTCTTCATTTTCTTCTTGTACTTTTTGGGTCATATCTGTGAGAAATCCATTGTAATGAATTCCTCCGTTTTCTTCTTGGAATTTTAGACTGAAATCTCTTCAGTGCCTTTGTGCCTTTGATCTATTTTGGGTTAAGTTGCACCTATTGTATGAGTTGTGCATTTCTCTTCATTTGTATGTGAATTTTCAAAGCACCATTGGTTAAAACACTTTTTCCAGTTGAATGGTCTGAAAGCTGTGTTCATAAATTGGTGGAGGTGAATTTGAAGGCAATGCATGTGTTCAGGTTGTTGTAACCAAATATCGGACAAGACACCATGCTGGCAAAGGCTTGTTTGCTTTTCAGTTCATGGGGAAGGATGGTGGCAGCAGAATGAGGTGGTGATCTCATTGCATCCACAATCAGGAGGTACAGAAAAATTAATGCTGGTGCTCAGTTTGCTTCTCCTTTTATTCACTCAGACACCCGCCTCAGCACACAGGACAGTAACGCCCACAGGTAGAATTAAATACTCTACAATTAAACCTTTCTGGAAATATTTTCATAGATACTCCAAAGGATTGTTTCTGTGGCAATTCTAAATCCAGTTAAGCTGACAA